GGGGGGGGGGAAGTGGAGGTGTTACGCACTTGGAAGGGGGCGATGGTTGGGCTGGCCATCTTGGTTGGATTAGCGCTCAGATCGGGTGGTCATGAAGACTGCATGGAGAGCGTAGCATGATTCTATATTCTATATTCATCAGGGAATGGGAATGGGAATGAAAGAGGACAAGAGGACTGTGGTTGGAAATCAAGACCAAGACTGCGCTCCACAGCGCCAAGCCTGGAAGGTCTGTATTTATTACTACGTAGTATTTAACTTAATGGTTTTTTAATGGTTTTTAATGCGCTCGACACTACCAACTACAGTCCTCCTACCGAACCGAATTCTTAATTTCTTAATTTCTTAGGACCACCCCATCACACTATGGCCAGTAAAGGGAAATCGCGGTGGGCGCAGGATGAAGACGACAGTGCTGCGAGCATTGCGGCGAGCATTGCGCAACGGAAAAGAGAGAAAGAGGAGAAGAGGCGAGCAAAGGAGGACAGGCTGCGACAAGCTGACGCTCAACAAGTCCATTCGCCTTCGCCACCGCCAGTCGACCCTCCCGCTGCCAATGGAGATGTGGAGAGGCCTTCGAAGCGGCTCAGGACCCATGTGGACACGCATCCACCGGGCGATGGACGTGCCCCCGCCCCCGAATCGCAGCTTCTCCCCTTTCCCGCCCGGCGCTTTGCAGCCTGTCGAGACGTCGACGAATATGAGCGGCTGAACGAGATCGAAGAAGGCTCCTACGGACTCGTATCGCGTGCGCGTGAGAAGGCCACCGGAACCGTGGTGGCGCTCAAGAAGCTGAAGATGGACCACGCCAACGACGGCTTCCCCGTCACCGGCCTGAGAGAGATCCAGACCCTGATGGCATCGCGACATGCCCACATTGTCCGCCTGCGAGAAGTCGTCACGGGCGCCACGTGGAAAGAGTAAGTCTGGCCACCAGATCCCTCCGCCCCTGAAAAGCGCCGATACCAGACGTTATTAACCATTCCCCCCCACCATTGGGCATCACAGCATCTACCTCGTCATGGATTTCCTCGAACACGATCTCAAGACTCTGCTCGAAGACATGGCCGAGCCCTTCCTCCCCTCCGAGATCAAAACCCTGATGCTCCAGATCGTGTCCGCCACCCAACACCTGCACGCGCACTGGATCCTGCACCGCGACCTCAAAACCTCCAACCTCCTGATGAACAACCGCGGCGAAATCAAACTCGCCGACTTCGGCATGGCGCGCTACACCTCCCAACCGTCACCACCCAAACTCACCCAGCTCGTCGTCACGCTGTGGTACCGCTCGCCGGAACTCCTCCTCGGCACCGACACCTACGGCGCCGAAATCGACATCTGGAGCCTCGGCTGCATCTTCGGCGAGCTGCTGACCAGAGATCCGATGTTCCAGGGCAAGAACGAAGTGGACCAGCTCTCCAAGATCTTTGCCTCCCTGGGCCCACCCACCAAGGAAAACTGGCCCAATTACCGCTCCCTCCCCAACGCGAAAGCCTTACACCCACTTCTCTCTTCCTCCTCCACCTCCAAACGCCAACCACAACTCAACTTCCCCTACCTGACCACATCCGGCCACCGGCTCTTGAGCTCGATGCTCTCCCTCAACCCGTCCTCCCGACCCGCCGCCGCCCAGATCCTGGCCCACCCGTACTTCCACAACGAAGACCCCCGCCCCAAAGCCAAGGAATTCTTCCCCACCTTTCCGAGCAAAGCGGGCCAGGAGAGGAGGCGGCGCAGGGAGACGCCGAACGCGCCGTTGAGGGGCGACAAGGTCAAGCTGC